AGCTGCTGCTGCAGCTGCTGCTGCAGCAGCTGGTTCCACAGCTGCAACTGCAGCAGCAGCTGCAACAGCCACCGCAGCTGTTCCTGCCACGAATTTTACCATCTCCTCGGAACATGAAAAGCAGCAAATGCTGCAGTAGCAGCAGAAGCAGCAGCAGCAGAAGCAGCAGCAGAAGCAGCAGCAGCAAAAGCAGCAGCAGCAGCCTACGGTCCGAACTGTCCCCTTTTGCTGCGCTTGATGTGTCCTCCCAGAGTAAGAAGGGAAGAAGCCTCAAGGCCAGTTTTCTCTGCTGCTGCTGCACCTGCTGCTGCTGCATCTGCTGCTGCAGCTGCTGTTGCTGCAGCCGCTGTTGCATCTGCTGCTGCTGCTGAAGACTCGCTCTCGTTGCTGCTGCGCCCAGTAGCTTCAGTGAAAGGCCGAGAAGGTGTCTCCTCCATAAGCGGCTCTTCCTGCTGCTGCTGCCGCTGCTGCTGCTCTTGTGAAGCTTGATCTGCAGCACCAGCTTCTGCTGCGGTGTCTGTAGCTGTCGCAGCAAAAGGGCCTGGTGCTGCTGCTGCTGCCGCTGCTGCTGGGGGCCCCCTCATCTCGCTGCCAACGTTTGCAGCATAGGAACGCTGCGTGAGTTGGGGAAAGTTCGGCGGTGCTGCTGCTGCTGCTGCTGACTCTGCTGCTGCTGCTGCTTCTCGAGCTCTATCGAGCAACTGCAGCAGCGGCCGCGCCCTTGCTGCTGCTGCTGCGACTGCTGCTGCTGGGCTTGCTGCTGCTGCATGCCCCGCAGTCTCGTGCGTGGCGACGCTGTCTCCGAAGGCCCCCACTGCTCTTTGCACGCGGGCAGCAGCAGCAGCAGCAGCAGCAGCAGGAGCAGCAGCAGGGGAAGCCGGAGCAATGACCCCAAAGAGGGCCTCATGTTCCCCTACTAAACCCTCTAGAGCAGCAAGTCTGTCCCTCAGCTGCACGACAGCTTCCTCAATTGTCTGCAGCGAGGAACTTGCTGCTGCTGCTGCTGCTGCTGCTTCTGCTGTTTGCTGCTGCGCTGCAGCGTGGGGCTCTGCAGCAAGACCCCCCGTGGCCGTAAAAAGAAAACCCCCGAAGGCCATGTAGCAAATGAGGGCCCCCAGGAGCAGCAGCAGCAGCAGCCGCGGAGACAGGGCCGACGGAGTCCCCTGGTCTCTTGCTGCTGCTGCTGCTGCTGCTGCTGTGCCTGGAGGCAAGAACCTTGCTGCTGCGCCTCTCTTCTCTCCCCTGACATGCAGCGGGAGTTCTATGGGCCTCTTGCTGCTCGGAAGGAAGCGGGAAAAGAGGCTGCTGCTGCCGTGCA